ATGTTTGCTTTTCTATATATTTTAACATCACAATAAATGTTTTGTTAATGCTAAACTAATTCCAGTATAAATAAAGCCTTTACTTCTTTTTTTCTTTGTGGAATAAACACAGAAATAGTTTAGTCTTAAGAAATTCTCCTCATATTATTAGAACGTCACCTCGATCACTAATATCTTTTGCACTCACAACATATGTGCTCATGAACCTTTGATGTTTTTCAGTTTGGCTGGAATTTGACAGTCTTCACTTTGGAATGAATTTTTATTTCCTAATATGTTTACTTGTAAGGCTTAGGCTTCACCAATGCACAGTGCACTGATGTTACTGTTCACAATTTTAAGTCTCACTTTATATATAAGTTTGCAGAATCCCAGCAGACCCATGCAAAAATAATTTTTAACTTAATAATTTTTAAAATTTTAATATTAAACTTTATTAATTGAATGCTATACTATGCACTTTAAATTAGAGTTATATTATTCATTGCAGTGGTATAATCTAGTAATGTGCTGTGATTTACACTTTTACATCTTAAAACCATTGTAATGAAAGGTATAAAAACCATGTAGGCCGTCTTACATCTCTAAAAGGTGAATACAGGCTTAGAAAAGGGGACATCATAGCTGAGAAAACAATTTACTTATATTTTTTATGTAGAAAAACTTCCTGTATCAAATCATATTAAATCCCTGTTGACAATTATGTATATGCTACTTTTGGGGGAAAAAGTGTAGGTATTATTACGAGATTTAAATGTCATTTTCATGAAGACCAACCCAAAAACTTTGTCTATTTTTGGTGCTGTAGAATTTTTGTTGCAGTAAAATTAGGCTTCATGGCTTGGAAACACTTTAAAATGTAATTTAAAGTGTAATCTATGCAAATAAACTCCTGAATAGTTTTTTTATGGCTGATCATAGTTTAGTATTATCAAATTGCTGCCAAAATAGGTGAATGTTAACATTCATATTTGGTTAAGAGTATAAAATAATGTTTTTATTTGTTCAATGATCACATAAAACCACTTTAATAATGATACAAAAACTCATCTTTTAGGCATTCACCAATGAGCAAAAGCTATATTGTGGTTGATGCAAAATCCAAAGATTAGTCAGTTTTAAGTAAATGCCAATAAAGGAGTTTTAATCTTGTGTCCTCATGTTTATAAAGTTTGCTGCTCAAAATTTCTTCATTTACATTTTCATCCTGGTTTCCCAACTCTTGATTATTAGAAAATATAGAAAAGTAAACCTTAGTGGTACTAATACCTATCCCAGAAGTCCAGTATGCCAAGCACTTCTGTGTCATAATACTTGTTACAAACTCACCCATGATGTTGGGGGAGGAAGGAGGAGAGAGTCACTAGATGTAAGCATTTAAAAAAATATTTTATTTTTACGACTATATATTATTTCAACAATACTTGAATGACAGCTTTAAGATTTCCTTTTAAACTGAATAACATTTCTTGGAATGAAGACAGCTTACTGATGATTACTTAATGAGCAATTATTAATGGACTACTAACAGAGATGTCCTTCCAGCAATGTTTTTTTAATTGCAGGAGGTGGAATGTTGGTTAGAAATATTTAATTAGAACTTGTGGAGGAAATTAAGAGCGAGAACTTGTTTAGGAAACCTAAAGGCCTTGCCAGCAGGACATTCCGAGCTCCATACCTCTGAAGGGCTGCCATACCTCTGAGAGCAAGCTGCCTCTTTTCTAAAGTTTAGCACTTAGTAAAAATTAACTACCTGAAAATAACAGATGAAAACTAGACTTTAAAAAAGCCAAGCCCAATCCTTGTTTATAGCAAACATAAAACCAGATTTCTAATCCGCCCCAGCGACAATCACCTATTGATTGCGACGACATCTGTGCCTCTGTTTTTGGAAGCAGTGTTTTCCGTGGAGGCAGGAATGAAAAATCCGACCATTCCCGCGCCCCTGTGTGATAAACCACCCACAGATCTTTCAAGAAGGAGCCTTGAAACCCACACCTCGGCTCACTTCTTTCTCACTTATTGATGGGCCCAATTAAAGGTCCTCCCTTTCCCCGTCAGAAGTTACTCCTTTCAATAATGAAATCTATGGAGAAGCCTCTCTAGAACTTCTGTGGCACCTTCTCACAGACAAAGGATGAAAGTCTTTGTGCACCACCAAATACAATTTCCTCCGACCTCGGTCAGAGTAAGCCACCGCGCTGTGTCCCGGACTCAGTTCAGCAGTGGGGCAGGACCAGGACGTCAGAGATCAGAGACTCTTAACCCTTTTCTTTCCCAGCAGGTTCCCTGGGGATAAAGTCTTTTAAATGCCCTAGGCGAGGGAGGAGTAGGCGAGGGAATAGGTTTGCTGGATTGGCCCCGAGGGAGACCACTCAATCCTAGATCACCTTTCCGTCGCGCAAAGCAGCCCCAGCCAGGACAGTTGTCAGCTGCAAACTGTGGAGCCTAGGTGCTAAGGAGGGCCACCTGGGAATGGAAAGCGCGCGCGTGGATGAGGGAAATGGAGTGGGCCCACGGTAAAGCCCAGGTCAAAAACGGCCCCTCTCCCAACATAGGCTGCTTAATAGCCCTGCACGAGCGAAAGCTGATTCCTTTCCCGCTTTCACTTCTAAGTTCACGCTCAAGTTCAACCCCCAACTCCACAGGACGTCAGAGTAGCCTGGATCTTTTCTCAATCCCATTCTTATTGAACAGCCTCTCACAATGTGGAAGGGCACTGTCCGCAGAAAATAGGAAGAGTCAGTGAGGAAAGACCCTAGGGACCAGGAAAGGAGAGCCAGGAAGGGCGAGAGAGCGACCTGACCATCTTTGAAGTTTACATTTTCTCCAGCGCGTTCCCATGGGCCGCCTGAGAGGTGTCTCAAGTTAGAAGTTGTAAGGGGTCCTCGGGAGCCTGGCAAGGCTGGCGCCCTCTGGGATAGGTGTGTGGGCTTAAACTGGTTTTCTCAAGGTGAGCATAGGACCAGCGCTTGGCTTTCAACCCTTCAAGCTTCTGGAGTTCTCAAAGCGACCGCCGTGGCGAACCGGGTCAGTCATCTGCAAATTGCTGCTTCAGGAGCGGCTAGATCAAGCTACTAACCCACCCCCACCCCGCGCCGCTCTCCATTCTACCTTGCAGGGCGTGAGCGGTTTTTTTGCCCTAAGTCCTAGTGCTGGGTCCGAGCTGAGGTGGCGCGTAGTTTCCGACCTTTGGAAAGTACGAACCCAGCCACAGGGGGAAAGTTAGAAGGGGAGAAGGGAAGGGACGAATTGGCTGCTCCAGACCCGGACAAGGGAAACCGAAAGAATAGATGGGATGGTGAGATGGGCCAGAAAAAGAAAAACAAAGACTGGGCCTCTCTTACTAAGCAAAGGTTCTGTACTCGCCAATTGCCCAAGTATAGTTTTTCGAAAGAATTTAGACAGTGGAGCATGTAACCAACCCTCAACAGGGACAATCAGCTGGAGCCAGCGCGCACACAGGGTGCCCCACTCCCAGCGAGCGGGCCAATCAAGACCATCCCATCAGGACGTCCTTGTTTCTTATCTACAGTCAACCCCCTCCCCCATGGACAATCTCTCTCTTTTCCTTCTTCTTCTTCCCTTTCCTAACACATCCCAGCAACCAGCCAGCAAACCCTTGAGTCCAGGCTCGGGGCTCACCGCGTGCGAGAGGGAGTGGGAGTGAGACCCGCTGCCTCCTGGGGTGCTCCTCCCGGGGCGTAGGGGGAGTGAGTGGAAGAGGATCACAGCTAGTGGAAGGAGAAGACCAGTGATTGCATCCCAAGTGCTTCTTCCCTAGACCACCTCTTTCCGGGTCCGGGACGTAGGAAAGTCTGGAGCTGGCCGTTACTAACTTTCTGTTGTCAAGACCCAGGGGGATGTGCGAAGGGTCGAGAAGAGTCCCCGATGAACCGCGGCCTGACCAGGAAGAGAGACCGGGGGTGGGGGTGGGCACCCAGAGGCTTGCACAGATCCCCAATGTCAGGAGGACAATTGCCTGGCTCTTCAGTAAAAGCGTGAAGAATGGCCGAGCACAGCGCGAAGGAAACCTGGGGTCTCCCGCAAGGTAGGAGAGGAGACCAAGTGACTCCCCGAAGCCCAACTGCCATCCCTTCTAGAGGCCCAGAGTTCAGCCGAAGCAGGTGTAACGCTACACCCCCTGGCGCGCATCCCCGCAGACCCCAGCTCGCCCCGGGGTCCCGCCGCTGCCACCTCCTGCGGCTGCGAGGGTCCTGGCCCGAGGATGCACCCAGCACCTCCTTCCACTACGGGCCCCTTTATCAGACAAAAGAGCCGGAGCCCATGGCTCTCCGGCTGTGAGTAGCGTGGTCTTTCGAAGCCTCCAGAACTTTCTCATTACAACTTTTCCGGGGTCGCACTACTCCCTGGGCCGCTCGGGCTCGGGCACGAGGACCTGGCCAGGGCGCAGCGCCCGCGCGAAGGCGCGCGCCGAACTGTTATCTCAGCAGCGTCCAGCCTCGCAGCACTGCTTTTCTGCCTATTGCCCCTGCGAAGGGACCTGCCTGCTGGCCAGGACGCTAGTGCGCCTCGTAACCTGGCGAGTGTGTGCCCGTGCCAGTCCACCCTGGCTCCCGCCAGTGCGCCCAGCGCGCCCAACCCTGGCCAGCGACCACTGCGCGCAGGGGCTTCCAAGCTGCTCCTGCCCAGAGGCATCCCTCCCTCGGCTTTCTCCATCCCGCGTCCGCTTCCGCACCCGAGAGCGACAAGCAAAAAAGATTCAGTGCAACTCAAGGACTGGTCGGATCCAACTAGCCTCTCCCCCCTCTCCAAAAAAGCGCCCTCCCGCGTCCCTCCAGAACTCCCGAGAGGCAGCAACACCTTCCCACAACTTTCTACGCCCTGGCCATTTGCAGCCCCACCTGCGAGAGCGAACTCGGCAACTGCGCCTGGGCAACCTCTTTCCCCTTCGGCTGGGTGCCCTCCCCTCCCCCATCTCCCCTTCTGGATGGAGTTGGCCGGACTCGGGGAGCCTCGGTGCCCGCAGACTCGCTTACCTCGCATGGTGTGGCCGCTCTCCCGCTCCGCGTAGTCATGAAGCTGCTCCCAGCCCGAACCCCGGAGAGCCCAAAAATCCCGCTCAGCACGAGTGAAGAAGGTGGTCGGCGAAGAGCTGCTGGGCCGAGAAAACCATCCCTTTAGGCGGACGCCTTGGCCGCAGGGTGACGTTTGCCGCCGCCGCCGCTATGTTAACAGTTTTGATGTTGGTGGTGACTGTTTTGATGATTGTTTGTTTGTTTGTTTGTTTTCAGGAAGGGTGGAAAAAAATGTTCTGGCTGGCTGGTGCCTGGGTTTTGTTTTGGTTTTGTTTTTCTTATTTCTTTCTCTCCAATGTGCTTGCTTTTTAAAAATGCCACCGCCTCCGGCTCAGAAGATTTCTTTTGTGATCACTTGGACTGAGGAGGAGGAGGAAGGGCAGCAGCAGGAGGAGGAGTTGGTGGTGGTTTTGTTAGTTACAAAGAAGAGGGAGAAGGAGCAAGGGGGAAAAAAGGAAACAGAAAGAAAAGAAAGAAAGGCGGTGTGGATGGCAGAGCATGTGCGTTTTCACATGACATCTGTGCCTGTTAGCGGATCCACAATGTGAATTTTCACTGTTCAGTTACAGGGAGGAAGGGAGCAGCGAGAGAGAAAGAGAGGAGAGAGATGGAGAGAGAGCGCTGAGAGGGGCTTATACGCGAGGGCGGGCTTGGCCGCGACTTCCAGGCCCCGCCTGCTGTCAGCGCCGCCGCCAATCAGCGCCCGGCAGCGCCTGGAGAGGCCGGGACCGCGGGGAGGGCGCGGCGGGGGCGGGGGCGGGGGCCGGGGACCGAGAGTCCTTGGCGGCCGGGGCTGCGACGGGGAATTCGAGACTGTCCGAACTGGGCGAGGAGAAGGGCGGACCGGCAGAGGCGGGCAGATCCGCAGGTGACAGGCACTTCCGACTCCAGCAGACAAGGGGACGCTGGTCGCGGCAGACCTTCGGAGGCAAGAGACGCGGGGCTCCCCGGGTTTCACGTTAGGTCCCTCTCTCGCCACCCTCGCGGGCCCGGCAGAGTTAGTTTTGAATTTGTGCCAGCGCTTGGCCGAGCGCTGTTTCGGTAAACTTCGCGTCTCTGGCAGGGGTTTCCGTGGGCAGGTCTTTTGGGTGTCAGTGGCAGAATAATCCTAACCCACTTCCATCACTTTTAGCACAACTAAAATGCAGTCCCAAGCGAGTAGCTGTCCCCTTCCTTTAAAAACGTCGGTCAGATGCTCCCTGACCCCCTTCTTTAAAAGAAAAACAAAAGCATTCATGTATGTGTTCTTTTGTCAGGGAAACTGATTTTTATTAGCCTTTGGAGAATCCCCTGCCGTGGACTACAGGACTGAAGGAGAACAGCTCAAATTGGCGGTATGGCCACCTTACTAATTCAAGGCAAAGGGCTTGAGGCTCGAAGGTGAGATTGCAGGGTGCTCTTTAGAAAGGTTTTAGAAGAAAGACATCGTTAACTTTAGTTGCCATCAGAAGACGGTTACCCTATTTAGAGGCGATTGGTAACTGAACATAAACTTGTCTTCCTTAGGTGAAAATTGTCATCTATGACCATTTAATTGTATAAAAATCTGATACATATACCCAAACTGTTCCTTTGCAAGTTTTTCTTCCTCTGTTGACAAAATAAGCATATAGATGATTACGTCTACTTCTTTCCCAATAGTAGGGAACTTCTTAAATACTTGGCGTTAATTGAACACCCTAAAAGATTAGGAGGTGAAAACATTTGCCTCATTCACTCAGTCTTGAGTCTGGGAGATGTCTACTCATTAGCATACCTGTTGGCACAGCAGGCCTCATCATCATTTAAGTATCCAAATAATTCGATTTTTGACTGGTATTTATTCATGATATGTCATGTAACACAAAGTACAATGTAGAATTGGCAGTTATTTAGTTAATTAGGTCGCTCTACACTGCCAACTAGTTTTTTCCTTCTTGATTAAATAAAAAATGAATTATCTGCTGAATTTTTACCAGTGTTAAGTTGACATAGCCCTGATACATGCCATCCCATTTGCAAACCAATGTGTAATTTAGGAAAATTTTAGTATTAAGAGTGAAAGCTGATTGAGTCATTAATTAAATGAAATGAACAAAAGGAAGTTACTGTTCAGAATAGTTATTCCTTTATAAATACCTTTCTCCTAGATTTGTAATTGACACAGTAGTTAATCTTTTAAGATAATATTTAAGGCTCCCTGGTTTTATTATTTTTAATCAAGTAAAATATATTCATCATACCTATGTTAAAGCTGTAGAAAGTTATGCCTAATTTAGTTGCTTCATTAAAAATTACTGAATATAAAATAGTCAAGAAACAAATTGTGACTATATCATTTTAATTTTGTTGCTTCAAGCAGAGACACAGGAATATTGAAAATTCTAAAGGCTTTGTAAACATTGTGTAATTATTATTGTTGTTGTTATCATTTTAGATTTCTATTTCTCCTTAGCGTAAAGAGGAATTTAAACTTTTGAAAAAATTCAAAAATTGAAACGTTTATGTTATTTTAACTTTCAAAACGTTTATTGAATTCTGATTTTTTTTTACTGCTGCAATAGCTGTAATCCTTGAAAAAGGTAGTCAACACATGTATAAAAAGTATTTTACCCCCCCATACATTTTTATATCCTCCTTGTTTTGTGGGCTCAACAAGGTATAATTTTGCTTAGAACATATTTCTTAATTCCTTCTGAGTATTTTTGAATAAATTATTAATTAGAAAACTCTATGTTATTTCATTTTTAAAAACTCACATATTCTCTATATGTAGTGATGCAAAATTGTGTATTTTCTCTTTAAATGCTGATCATTGGTTGTAATGTGGAGGCCTGGGACATTTTGGATCTTTCTAAAAATTTAAAAACTGATTTGTTGAAATTTTCTAATAATTTTCACACTTATTTTAACTGAATGAATCCCATTTATGTAAAATAAATACTAAGAATTTGAATGAAAGAAGTATTTTCTAAGAACTCACAAAACATGTACATATAATCTGATGGTTTTATAACCTACCTGCCAGGAAATAACCATATTTCAAGTGGGCATAATAATAATATGTTAATATGCTGTCCTTGCTCACATGAAGTACAGTATCAGTAATTTTATTTGAATGATTATGTCTGGTTTCCTATAAGCCTGAAACTCTGCTTTTCGATCTGGGCTTAAAGGATAGTCTAAGCTGATAGTTACATTTTGATTAAATGACAATCAGTCACATAGTGCTGTCCTCAATCTCAAGAATTGCATAATATTCCACTTAGGCTTGTGTGCTCACCTGTTTTTCTGACACATTAGCGTCCCTCTGGTTGAGCTGTACCACAGAGTATTAATGGCAACAAATATCCCAAAGGAGGCAAAATTTTAGTATAAGCCAACCAGGTAGGATGACCACAGCATTTAGAATTATTTCAGTCCTAAAATACTTAAACAGGAAGTATAGTTCATGATATTCTGAGCTGGTGAGTCAGGGTAGTCCCTGGTCAGGGAATATTTGAAGTAATTATGAATCTTGAAGGGACTTTAGCAATACCAATAACAGTGTTATATTTAGGAATGACTGAAAGATTAGGTATGTTTAACTCTATTTAGGGAGCTGTGTGATTGTGAAAGTTGGAAAAGAGATATAAAGCTGCTATTAAATATTGTAAAAGCCAGAAAAATTTAAGAACTTTTAACATTCGAAGCTTTTACAAGTGGGAAGGCTGAAGTACTGAGCTCTCTGTTGCTGAAGGCATCCAAGCAAGTATTGAATGAAAGGTTCTGGTAGAGATGCTCTAGTATACAGATTTCTATACCACGTTGGAAGTTGTCTAAATTACTTCCAAGATCAATTGTAGCTCTAAGTGTAAAGTTGGCCTCTATGTCTGTGGGTTCTGCATCTGTGGATTTAACCAAGAGCAGAGCAAAAATAAATTGCATCTGTATTGAACATGTACAGATTTTTTCTTGTTATTATCCCCTAAACAATACCATGTAATAATTATTTATATAGTGCTTACATTGGCATTATAAGTAATCTAGAGATGATTCAAAGTATATAGGAAGATATGCATAGGTTATGTGCAAATACTACACCATTTTATACCAGAAACTTGAGTATCTGTGGGTTTTGGTAACCGTGAGAGGTCCTGGAACCAATCCCCCAAAGATACCAAAGGATGACTGAATTCACATGCAGTAAAGGTTGCTACCACTGCCCCAGCAGGCATCAGAGCCATATTTCCTATCTGAGAATGCAAAATTCATGATAGGAGGAGCCAGGATTTCCCTCGAGTTTGTAAGATCTCCTGGTAGCTTATAGGTGCTTGGTAATTATTGGTGGAATGAACGCTTTCTAACCTTTAGGTCACTGGATGTGAACCACAGATGGAGTGAAGACCTGAATAAGATCCTTCTTTCTTAGTTTCTATTGAATGGGAAGAGGAGGTGGGGAGAATCTGCATTTTAAATTCTCTTAATTTGGAGGGGCAAAAAATGATGGTTGATATTTGGTTATGTAGTTATAAAAGAAAGCTAAATTTAGTTACTTTCATATTTATTACTATTATCAATTTAATTTTATTTATTTATGTATTTATGTTTTTGAGAGGGAGTACCACTGGAGGCTGAAGTGCAGTGGCACCATCTCTGCTCACTGCAGTCTACCTCCTGGGTTCAAGTGATTCTCCTGCCTCAGCTTCCCGAGTAGCTGGGATTAAGGCACCTGCCACCACATCCCATTAATTTTTATATTTTAGTAGAGGTGGGGTTTCACCACATTGGTCACACTGGTCCCAAACTCCTGACCTCAAGTGATCTGCCTGCCTTGGCCTCCCAAAGTGCTGAGATTACAGATATGAGCCACCGTGCCCAGCCCTATTCTCAATTTTATTCCCACGTGCTGAGTCTTCTTCATAATCTTTGAGTTCTTTAAGTTCTGCGTCATTTTAAAGTATAGATGCAAGTTCAATAAGATTTCAAAATAAAAATAGGCAAATATTAAAATTGAGCATGTACCTTTTAATAAATTGGAAAAGGTGGTAAGGACCAAAGCATGAATGAACCCCAGTGTGTGGGAGAGGTAAGGCTAGCTTTGGGACAAGGAAAAAACATACAGTTCAGGAAAAACAAGAGCCAACATTTATTGGATGAATCTCATGATCTCTCAACCTATCTAATTTCTATTTCTTACAAGAGTCTACATGTTATACATTATATCTCCTCCTCCTCCCTACTTAAAAAAAATTATTTTATGGATGAAAGAACAGAGGCTTTAAAAATTTTACTTATCTAAGATCACAAATTTTAAAATGCTGGATCCAAGATTTAAACCCAGATATAGCCACTAAAATGTGTTTCATGAGTGTAGGAACTTTCTTCATTTAATTTTAATTTTTTCAATGCTGAATCCACAGAATCTAGAGTCTTGCCTGATAAATAGTCATATGTCACAAAATGACATTAAATAAAAACAGTGATTTTTTTTTTTTTTGAGACAGTCTCACTCTGTCGCCTAGGCTGGAGTGCAGTAGTGCGATCTTGGCTCACTGCAACCTCCACCTCACGGGTTCAAGCGATTCTCCTGCCTCAGCCTCCTGAGTAGCTGGGATTATAGGCATGTGCCACCTTGACCGGTTAATTTTTGTATTTTTAGTAGAAACAAGGATTCACCATGTTGGTCAGGCTGGTCTTGAACTCCCGATCTCGTGATCCGCCCTCCTCGGCCTCCCAAAGTGGTGGGATTACGGGCATGAGACACTGTGCCCCACCAAGAACAATGAATTTTGACTTTAAAAATAAAAGGATACTGTGAAAAATTTATGAAACAATAATGGCCTGATTTGGTTCATCATGGAGTTTAGGAAAATACTTCTGCAGTAAATATTTCAGGTTGTAAATAATGTAAGCCTGAATTGCATTGGCACCAGGAAAAAAGGTGGGGGGGGGAAATGAAAAGGTTGGATGCCTGACACATTTGCAGGCAGAAGCTATGACATCGAATGCAGTGATTAGACCGGTGGTGCTGGTGGGCAGAGTGTTGGGTAAAGGAAAGGAGAAATCAAACCAAAGCTTCTAGAATGAATATCTCACTTATCTAAGTGTATAAGGAAGAAAGAGCAGATTCTTATTTAAATAGGGGAAAATATTGACATGAATTTTCAATTTTGCCTATCACTGACAATGTCCAACAGGTAGTTGGCTATTGATAGAACTAGAGATTTGGAAATCGATTAGAGGTCAAAGTAGGATTTATGACATTCAGGCCGGGCATGTTGGCTCTGTCCTGTAATCCCAGCACTTTGGGAGGCCGAAGTGGGTGGATAATTTTAGGTCAGGAGTTCGAGACCAGCCTGGCCAATGTGTTGAAACCGTATCTCTACTAAAAATTCAAAAATTAGCCAGGAGTGGTGGTG